ACCTACAGAGATGGTGGAATCTCCTTTCCTAGAGACTTTTAAATCCTGGCTTGACAAAGCCCTGGCTGGAAAGATTTACTGGGGATTGGTCCTGATTTCAGCAGGGGGTTGGATTCGATGACCTTCTGAGGTCTATTCCAACCCTGATTCTATTATTTTGTGATTCTATGCTCCTACTAAAGGACTGACTGTGTGCTCTGTTTGCAGTGGAATTTCACTGGAGACAGGTTGGCATGGTTTCTACCCCTCAAATCTACATTTTATGCAGAATCCAGGTGGAGAATTTAAACCCAAGCCAAGAAATTCAAACCTTATAGTTCCTCCCAGAAGCATTAATTCAGTCCTCTTTTTCAGTTGTGATATATGCACCAAGTGCAGTCCCAGCCTCAGAATCGCTGGGACAATCTCAGTCCTTGTCCTTGTTCTCAGCCTTTGTGTTCCAGTGATATGGGCTTCCCAAGCAATTTCCTTTGAAAAGCAGTGGCTTGCTCAGCTCTGGCAGAGTGAGATCCAAAGACAAGTCCCTGAACGGCCCCAGGAACAAATCGCCCCATGCACCTCCAGCCCAGATACATGTGTGTGATCCCCCCCGTCTCCTCCCAACAGAGGAGTTCAGTGTGTTACGTGACAACCCTGCGCTCCAAGCTTTGCAGTGGCAGGAACACTCAGCGATGCCACAGAGGCCAAGACTAGGGCTCGGCCATTTTAACTGCTAGTTACTTGGGGGCCGTGCCAAGGCCAATTCTCACCTGTTGACTCCTGACGAGTGTCTCCAGCCAATACTCCCCCTTTGAGCGGAAGGCCGGGCCTGAGCTTGCTGGGGCAGGATGAGTGAGATTACCACTGTGACATGATCGCACTGCTTCTGCTGTCCAGGGCTCAGCATCCCTTTACTGCCCCAGTGTAACACCCCTGCTGCAGCCTTCACCCTCGCCTCATTCTACCCCTTCTCCCAAGCCCCACCTCCCTTCTGCCCTGTCTCTTTCCGCCCCTTCCGGCTGCTGAGCTCCCTTGCCTGAGCTCCCCTCCCCAGAGTGATATGAGCCAGCGGATTACCTGCAGGGCCTGGCATGGAGCAGCAGCAGGGGTCAGCCCCACTGTGCTCACCACAGCGATGGGAGCTGGAGCTACCAGCAACCTGCTCGGCTCTGCTGCCCATCTCCTAGCCCACTGTGCTCCATGGTGGGAGGAAAAGGTGCACTCGGGCCATAGCTTGCTCCCTCTGCTCCATGCATCTCTCAGAAGGGTGGCAGAGCCCGGTCATTCTGCTTGTCGTCGCCACAGTGAAGCAGAGCATAGTGGCTGGGAGGTGACGGGCAGGCAGAACAGAGCAGACTGCCAGGTGACTCTGGCTTCTGCTGCCAGTGAGTGCGAGGTGGGACAATCCCTCCTGCCATCCTCCCACCTGCCCCCAGGTAACTCCCAGGCTACCCTTTACCCCCCAGCTATAGTGGGGGACTGTCCTGTCCATAGGATGGTTGAGGCGGCTGCTCAAGTGGGCCCCCCAAAGCACGGACCCTAGAGCAGCCACCCTGAACCAGCTTATAGATGGGACAGCTCTACTGCTACTGCTTCTCCCCAGGGCCTGTTCCCACAATGCCTCTTTCCACCCTCAAAATGCCACCAACAGCTCAGGCATCTCCGCCCCCTTCCTGCTTCCTCACTCTGCCTTAAGGACGTAACCCTAACACTTTTAACCGTGATGGGGCCATGGCCTCCCAGCCCCATTCCTGCCTCCCTGCCTTGAGGAATCTCCATGCTGCCTCTTTCCTCTCTTGAGACGTTGCACTATGTATTTGCCACTAACAGGGTCATGGACTGAGGGTTTCCCAATGTTTTGTAGGTTGGAAGAGACTTTACAAGCCAGCAGTCTGTAACATCGCTGCTACAACCTGCTCGAAGGGCTTGAGCTCATAGTAGATACGTGGGTTGTTAATCATTTATAACACTGGTTTGTATATAAGCCTTTCGTGTCTAAGCACAAAAGGATTGGCAACAGCATGACTATTGGGTAAGATCTGGCTTCATAGAATCATAGAATATGAGTGTTGGCAGAGACGTCAGGAGATCATCTAGCCCAGCCCCCTGCCCAAAGCAGGACCAACCCCAACTAATCATCCCTGCCAGGGCTTTGTCAAGCCGAGACTTAAACACCCCTAGGGATGGAGATGCCACCAGGTAACCCATTCTAGAGCTTTACCAAACTTCTAGTCATTTTTCCCATTATCCAAATCAGACCCCCACTGCTCCTTGTTCTGTCATCTGCATCCACGTAGAACAGCCTCTCTCCAGCCCCTTTGCAACCCACTTCAGGAAGCTGAAGGCTGCTAGCAAATCCTCACTCACTCGTCTCTGCCGCAGACTAAATGAGCCCAGTTCCCTCAGCCTCTCTCCATAAATCATGTGCTCCAGCTCCCTAATCATTTTTGTTGCCCTTTGCTGGGCTTTCTCCAATGCATCCACAGCCTTTCTGTAATGGGGAGCCCAAAACTGACGTAATACGCCAGATGTGGCCTCACCAATGCCAAATAGAGATGAATAATCACTTCCCTCAATCTGCTGGCAATGCTCCTCTTAATGAAGCCCAATCTGCTTTTCTGGAGTCCAGGGTTTGGATTCTGCTGCGCTGCTTTCTCCAGTGGCATAGTCATAGTGGGCCCGAGTTGGCTGTGGCCCACCCCCTTTTCATCCAAGCCAAACCCACACAGATCAGATGCGGGGGCTGACCCCACGCCGCCTGGAGCTCCAACCAAGAAATGGGGCTTGAGTGCAGGGGCTGACTCCACTCCACAAGCTGCCCAGTGCTCCCGCTGCCCCCGCTCTGCCCTTGTTTTGGCACCTTCCACACAAAATTCTGGCCAAGGAGCAGGGCCAGGGCTGACCCCCCTCCCTCTGGCACTCTGACCAGGGAGCAGGGCTGAGGCTGATCCTGCTCTGTCCAGGGAGTAGGGCCAGAGTGTGGGAGCTTACTGCCCCCCTGTGCTCATCCACCCAATGTCAGGCCCTTCTGGATAGGCCACTGTTGTGAGCAGCAGGTCAAGGGCATGACTCCTAGTTGGTTCGGCCATCATTTGCACCAGGAAGCCCCCCCCCCCCCCGAAAACCAGGCCCTGTGATCTAGAAACTTGTTAGTTGTCTGAAGAAAGCTTCATCTGCCTCCTCCCTGTAGTCGTATGGTCTCTAGCAGGCCTGCATCACAACATCACCCCTGTTGCTTTCACCTCTTCTCTTAACCCAAAGACTCTCAACAGGCTTTTCTCCAGCTTCATACTGGAGGTCTGAGCAACCCTACTGCTCTCTTAGGGTATGTCTACACTACCCCGCTAGATCGAACTAGGGTGGTAATGTAGGCATACCGCACTTGCAAATGAAGCCCGGGATTTGAATTTCCCAGGCTTCATTTGCATAAGCCGGCTACACGCGGCACGAACTAGCAAGCCATTCCGCACTATCTGTACGCCTCGTGGAACGGCTTGCTAGTTCGAACTATCTAGCCCGTGCCGCGCGGCTACACGCGGCACGAACTAGCAAGCCATTCCGCACTATCTGTACGCCTCGTGGAACGGCTTGCTAGTTCGAACTATCTAGCCCGTGCCGCGCGGCTACACGCGGCACGAACTAGCAAGCCATTCCGCACTATCTGTACGCCTCGTGGAACGGCTTGCTAGTTTGAACTATCTAGCCCGTGCCGCGTGTAGCCGCGCGGCACGGGGTTCGAACAAGCCCGCATTTAAAAATGGCGCCGGCCGGCTTATGCAAATGAAGCCTGGGAAATTCAAATCCCGGGCTTCATTTGCAAGTGCGGTATGCCTACATTACCACCCTAGTTCGATCTAGCGGGGTAGTGTAGACATACCCTTAGGCTGTGTCTATACTGCAATCCTCTTCCACAAGAGGAAATACGAATGGGGAGCTCATTTGCATATGTCACGCTCACATTTGCATTTCCTCCTCGGATCCCTTTTGCGTAAGAGGTTTTTGCACAAAAGCTGTGTAGACGGCTCCTTTTTTGCACAACTCCCCCGCCCTTTTGCGCAAGAGCCATTTTTCGTGCCAGGACTTCCTGTAATTTATCCCAACCAGATAGAGATGAAAGCCCACAAGAGGTTGTACCTGGTAGGGCTGAGTCAAGCCATGCAGGAGCGCTGTGAAAACAGCTTGAGCTGCGCCTGCAGAAGGAACTTTGAGTAGAACACAGGACCTGCCTCCTGCTAAAGGAGCCCAGCTCTCCTTAGAGCGGATAGCACAGGGTCACTTGAAGGTAAAGCTAATCATAAATTCTGACTCCAAAGGATCGTTACACCAAGTTCCTGCAGAAACCCTCGAGTGCTACTTTGTCTCGCCTCTGGCTACTGAACCAAGGTGTTCAAGGGTCAGACAAGCCAGGTACAGATACTCATACCAACGCTATCATCTGTGAACAAACTGTCAAATACGGTTGTTCCTCCTTGTAAAAGTTCTCTGTAGCGAACGGGAACAGGGGAGGTTTTCGGAATTAAACCGTTGTTTAATACTTTATCCTTCGGGCCAACTGGCATGGGAAAGGGTGTTCATTCAGCTGCTTAGCCCTGCAAGGTATTCAACTGTTATGTAAATATAGTTCACACTGGAATGGGAAACAAATTCTGGGTGTGGTAATGTAAATAGAGTTCATTGAGAGCGCATCTACACGGTAGGGCTTAACTTGAAGTAAGCTAGCAAACTGAGCTACGTCAATTGCATAGCTTATTTCGAAATAGCTTATTCTGAGTTTTGGTGCTGTCTACACAGCACTTATTTTGAAATAGAGCGCTCTTCCTCCGACTTCCCTTACTCCTCATACAATGAGGGTTAAAGGAATCAGAGTAAGAAGTCCTCCAGCTTGACAGGATTTCAATAATTATGTGTAGACGTGGACTGTGTTATTTCAAAATAACACTAGTTATTTTTCAATAATGTTGCTGTGTAGACTAAGGCTGTGTCTAGACTACATCCCTCTTTTGACAGAGGGATTTAAGTTAGACGCTTCGAAAGTGCAGATGAAGCAGGGATTTAAATCAGTAAAGGATCTTTCGAAAAAGCAGGCTGTTTTCGAAAGAACCACATCTAGACCGTGGTTTTACTTTCAAAATGGCATTTTTTCAAAAAAGCGCCATGACACGATTATGCAAATAAAACACATGATATTTAAATCCCTGCTTCATTTGCACATTCAAAGTGTCTAATTTACATCCCTCTGTCAAAAGAGGGATGTAGCCTAGACACAGCCATAGTCTCAGTTGCTTAGGCCTGATAGATGGATAGTCAATTGTTAGAATGGTATTTTGCCTATTGTAACCACTTTGGCTGTTGTGGGGTCACAAACCACGTTAATCCTAAATGCAGGAATTGTAAAATATGGCCACCAATGCTTGCAGTTATTGGGAATGCAGAAAAGCAAACTGTGTTTAATTCAGTTCAAAAGAGAGACACTGTCATTGTAAAGAATCACGGATAGCAAAGACTTTCTCTTCCAAACTCTGTGAAGTCAATTGTGGGGAAGGGCAGTGCTCTGAACCAGCAGGCTAGATGCCCTCCATGCGTCGGCTGTGAGACTGGTTCAACCTGTCCACCCCCTATCTAATAATAGAACTAAAATAGACTCCATAAGGAGCCTGTTTATTTATTTTAAAATGTTATTCCAGTGGATACTTGAATCTTTTGGCTGGACTGTGCTGCAGCCCAAGAGTTGAAATCACTGAGAAGCTGACATCACAGAGAGCTGAAATCACTAGGTTTGGCCTAGAACCAAAACCATCACGAGCAGCTGGCAGGAGCAAGCAGCTGGCGGGAGTGGCAGGCGACTGGCAGGAGCAGCAGCAGGCAGTCAGCAGAGCAGTGCCAGAGGGGACCCAGCCAGTGGATGGTGAGTGACCAGCAGAGTGGGTGAAATGCCTCCTACCCCCCCCCCCCAAGATGGCAGGTGAATTCTGCAGATCACCTCTGAACACTGGTCTCCCCTAAGGGCAGCAACTTTGCGTAGGGTGCAGAGAAGGGCTGGGCATGTGAACGGGACACGTACATTGGGACCCTGAGGGGCCAAGGCCACTGCCAAACCTACTAGAGCTGGGATGTTGACTCGTGCTTTGGTTCTGAGCTCTGGTTGGGGTGTTTTCCCACATTAATGTCACGTTACTTCTCTCCCTCTTTTATGAAACGTTTCTTTTCTACACTAAGACTCTGTGCTTGCGAGTGGGGAAGCGTTGCCTCCCATGTGTGCCCGGGGTGATGTGTGCATTTGCCAGGTTACTGGGTGGGGGCTCGAGCCAGTTCTGTGAAAGGAACCTTTAGATATTGAACCCGGCCTTGGCTGCTGCCGGTGCTACCTGGCAACAGGGTTCCATGTGAAATACTCCTTGGAGCATAAGAACGGCCAGACTGGGTCAAACCGAGGTCCCTCTAACCTAGGTTCCTGTCTGCTGACAGTGGCTAATGCCAGGTGCCCCAGAGGGAGTGAACAGAGCAGGGCCTGGGCTCACTCTCTTGCACTGGCCTGGGGTGCTGAGGCTTTGTCTGCGCTACAGGACTGACATGGCATCCAGGAAACTGCTCCCTTTCCATGTGAGGCTGCAGCCTCCCTGCCCCCCTCCCCCAGCTCAGCCTGTGCGCTGGCACCCATCCCTGCGGCCTGTGCTGCAAAGACACGTCTGTGTCAGAGCAGAATGTAGGCTCCACACTGCGCTGCTACACACTCACCTGTGGGGTGGGGGAACTCACGGGGCAGCACTGAGATGCGAAGGCAATAAGTGAGCTTCTCAGCCCAGGGGTGGGTGCTCCAGTATGTGTCGTGCAGCTCCCAGCGCTCTCCCTACTCGCTCACTGGGCTCAACGAGTGCACTTCCGCTCTTTGAACAGGAAATCTGCAGCCTGCACACCCCGACCACAGCTCACCCTGTGCAAAGAGCTAAGGAGCTATGCACTCTGGGGTCTGACTGATAGCCATGAGCAGGGCTCCAAAGACCTTATGCTGGGCTTGATAAGCAACAGGGGAGCTGGAGTGTTTACTGCATGTGCCACCTCTCAGAGCAAGTTCTACATAGGCTGGCCTCCCCAGGCTCCCTCAGGTCAGAAGCAGCCAGAAATCCCTGCAGAGCAACATGAATCTCAGACCCTCATCTGTATGGACCCATGCAGCAGGGCTCCCCAGACAACCGCATGGGGCCCTCTGCACTAGGAGGAGGTAAACCTTACTGCTCCTGAACCAGTCCTGCCCCCTCTGGTAATCCAGACCAAACAGGATCCCAGGAAACAGCTCATGCCTGGGAGGTACTGTCCCCTTCTCCAACCCCATGCAGGAGTGTCAGGGTGGTGGCTCCCGTGGCATAGTGTCCAGGCCTGTAAATGACTCCTGGGAATTTAAGCAAATAGGAGCTGAAGGCCTCAGTCCCACAGGGATAAACGTCAATATGCTCCTGCCCAGAGGTGTCTCGCCTGCTCTTAAATATCTCCAGTAATGGAGATTCCACAACCTTCTCCCACTCCCAGTCAGTTTATTCATGTTTAACCACCCTGACAGGAAATTTTTCTTAATAGAATCATAGAACTATAGAGCTGGAAAAGACCTCAGAAGGCCATCAAGTCCAGCCCCCTGCTCTAGGCAGGACCAATTCCAACTAAATCAACCCGGCCAGGGCTGTGTCAAGCCGAGGCTTAAACACCTCTAGGGATGGAGCCTCCACTACTTCCCTAGGGAACCCATTCCAGTGCTTCACCACCCTCCTAGTGAAATCGTTTTTCCTAATATCCAACCTGGACCTCTCCCACCACAACTTGAGACCATTGCTCCTTGTTCTGCCATCTGTCACTACTGAGA